ACGTCACTTCCTGTTTGACTCGGTCCACTGTCTGCCTGCAGACGTCAGACCAACAGAATCAGTCTTTGGCTGTTGTTTGATGTCAGCAGTTAAAATGTTCATGTTGGCGGTTTCTAACTTTACTGAAGTTCAGAGACCAGTTTTCATTTGTCTCCTGCTGTCCTTGGGTCAACATGTCCTGCAAGGCTTCAGTCTGAAAACAGATCTCATCCTGGCCTTAGGGCAGCAGGAGGGTGACGTCAACCATGACTGGACCAACCTGGGTCAGTACGGTTCTCCTCTGCAGGACCTTCTTCACATCAGGCTTCAAATCTACTTTTAAAGTTCAATAATAAGTTAAAGCTGTAAAGACTGATTCAGTTTTCTTCTGTTTCAACTGTTTGATCCAAACTGCTGAAAAGATTCAGAAACATGAACGTGATGGAACAACTCTCGCTGCAGGTATGCTTCCGAGACAGGTAGCTGATGATCTTCGTCAGGGGAAACCGTCCCAGGCTCAGAGCTACGTCAGCGCCACCGTCTTCTTCAGGTGACAACCCAAGGATTTATTCTGCACTTTGTGTTTCAGGACTTTAAAGTCTAACGAGAACATGTGGCACTTCCTTTTGTAATAATCCAAGCTAAGACACATACAGACTCTTATTTTGAAAGGTATCTATAATCCTCGTTTCTGACTGAATCCTCCGCACCATCAGAGGTCCAATCAGAGACGAGAGGGATCTGTGGGGGCGGAGGAAGAAAAGACCCAGAATCTGCTGAGTCACTGGTTGTCATGGTGATTCCCTCCTTTTTTAGTGGGTGGGGGCAGCAGAAAGGGGAGGGGCATCCCACAGCAGCAGTTCCAGGCAGGAAGAAACTGAAAACTAAGCTTCAAACAGTCGCTGTGTAAAAACGATCAGTCGGAGCCAAAAACCTCTCGAGCTGTCAGTGTCAGGAGGTTCTGGAGGTCAGACATGTTTGTTTTTATTTTTCCATCGTGTTTAACGCCGGCGATAAAATGAGTCAAAATAAAGAGTCTCGCTTCACGTTTGGAAGAAACAAACCTTTCTGGTAAAATCTGTAAAATCCTCCACGTTCAGCTGCAATCGAGTAAAAACTGTTAAAATGTGGAAACAGCCGCTCAGTCCAATCTCCTGTGGCCCGTTTGAGCTCTGGATGATGGTTCTGCTGTGAAGGCTGAGCCGGAGGTCCGAACAGGACCGGGCTGGACGCTCGTTTCCACCTGACCTGTTGGGAGACGTTGGCGGTTGTTGGAGAACTTGTGATTGTGTGTTTGTGCAGTGACATCGTGGGTTTCACTCAGCTGTCCAGCAGCAGCACGCCCTACCAGGTGGTGGACTTCCTCAACAAGCTGTACACGACGTTCGATGACATCATCGACAACCACGACGTCTACAAGGTGGAAACCATCGGAGATGCCTGTGAGTCGATGTTCTCATGATGTTTGGATCCTCCTGCAGGTCTTTGATTCAGATTAATCTCCTGACGGGAACGTTTCTGTTGAAATCACATCTTGTTTGTTCCTGAAGAAACTCCTGTCAACTTCTACTTTTAACACTTTGTTTCTCCACGGTTGTGTAGACATGGTGGTTTCAGGAGTTCCCCTGGAGAACGGGATCCTCCACGCCTCAGAGATCGCCAGCATGGCTCTGGACCTGGTCGGGGTCTGTCGGACCTTCAGGATCCCCCACAAACCCAACACGCAGCTGCAGATACGAGCTGGGATCCACTCCGGTAAGCACACGGTCCTCCTGCAGACCTTTCTGTGGGGTCTGCCCCTGAACCCTCTCCTGTGTGTCTCCAAGGTCCGGTTGTAGCCGGGGTCGTCGGGACGAAGATGCCCCGGTACTGTCTGTTTGGAGACACGGTCAACACGGCATCCAGGATGGAGTCCAACAGCCTGGGTATCTACAAATCTACATGAAGTTCAGAAAATGACTCCAAGAAGCAAACATGGAGTCTGTCACTGGAAGAGCTCAGATAAAAGAAGATTAATTTAAAAAGTTGGGTTTGATCATTTTCAAACATCTGAAGGTTAGAGGTGATCATCATCAAACTTACTGCTGACACCTTCTACTTCTGACAACAAGTCGTTTGTTTCAGTCGTTTCGAAGCTTCTTGTGATGATCTCTGGAGGATCTTCTGAGCTTCTTATCGTCACCTTTCATTTGGAGCAGTGAAGTTCTGCTCCTCATCCTTCCAGCCTCGTTGTACCGACACGTTCTGTTTTGAACGTTCTCGGAAATCTTATGGTTCTATTCAAAGGTCACGGACAGTCCCACACCATGGTCATCCCTCCGCCGTGTGTTCCTGTGGAAACTTCTCACTTTTGTGAAAGTTGTGGCTTGAATGGAAACTTTTTAAATGATTGAGCCTACAAACCAGAAACGTTTTAAAGTTTTTATCCTTTCATCTCCGAGCTGTTCGTTTAGTAACGGTCTGTGATTTTACCCACAATTCTTCACTGATCGACCTTAAAACATGAGTTTTGACTCAATGCTGCACCTGTTAGTCTTCTTGTCTCATTTCGTGGACCTCATTTCTCATGTCGTGGACCTCTTTTCTCATTTCGTGGACCTCTTGTCTCATTTCGTGGACCTCTTGTCTCATTTTGTGGACCTCCTGTCTCATTTCGTGGACCTCATGTCTCATATCGTGGACCTCATATCTCATTTCGTAGACCTCATGTCTCATTTCGTGGACCTCATGTCTCATTTCATGGACCTCGTCTCATTTTGTGGACCTCTTGTCATTTCGTAGACCTCGTGTCATTTCGTAGACCTCATGTCATTTCGTGGACCTCTTGTCTAATTTTGTGGACCTCCTGTCTGATTTTGTGGACTCCTGTCTCATTTCGTGGACCTCATGTCTCATTTCA